CTAATAAATTGGTCGTTTGTTCAGGACTTTCTCAAAGGGCCTGACGGAATAAAATGCACTTAGGGTAGTGCCTGTTTTGTTCAAAGAGCCTTTAAAAGAGGAACAAGATTATTTTACTCGATATACGTGCGATGTGTGTTCGATAGGAACTATCCTTCTGACGTAGTGAAGCGTAATGCGTTGTGTCAAAGGAGGGTGGACTTCTGAAGCTACTTTATCCGGATTAAAATCTGTACGGTACGAAATAGAAAAGAGTACAGAGCAGCACTAACGTTTATAAAGAAATATTATGCGTGTGACATGAATTAACTTCAACGCTATGTTTTGCTGGCGTAAATTGGGATGGAAATTTTAACTCGTATTTATCTTAAACCCTCCTCTAATTTCCATATAAACTAGCGATCAGCTCCAGCCGCCGAGAGGTAACATGAACTAAATCACGGCTCACGGCTAAAACTTCCAACAAAATTCAAACTAAAATGTCTAATAGCTGAGACTTTGCAACTGACGGCCCCCGAATGCATATTAGCTAGAAACGGTCGGGCCATTTGACAAAATGGAGTTTGAATTCACTAATGCCTATCAAATTGAATATAAAAAATCAATTTGCTCTTCAACCATTTAATTCATACGAATTCGTTTCTAATTCCTTTTTATTATAAGTCCATTTATCAAGACAAGTTTCCCGTATTAAGGTTAGCAGCCATTTTTCATTGGGATCCTCTGATTGGACAGGCATGTCAGGTGACGTCATAATGGCGTCAAAAAGTCGTTAATTTGTAAAATGAAACTGTCGCGACACCATATTTGAACTTTTTGGTATTTTCGATCAATGTGTCTTGAGGTGTATGAAGTGGGCTGGCATTTTGACTTGATATTGAAATATTAGCATAGAATGTCTCAGCAAAATGTGGTTTATGCGTGTGCGTGTGATTTATAGCCATTTCAAGCTGTATTGTGAATGATTTTGTCAACGTATGGGTTATAAAGAGCTTATGTTGTAAAGATTTTTGTGGCTTTGTGGCTGACATAACTTTGCTAATACGAGTATTACTATTCCACTATCCGCTATATCACTTTCTACCCAGTTTGTTTTCAGGCACTCTTATAACAAATTGACCAACTCAGCAGAAATTCCAATAACTACAAAAATGTTTTCACCAAAAACACTGAGTAAATAATGCAGCAAATTAAGCAAGTATTTCATCCATTATTTCCTATGTTCCATTAATATTATAATGTAGGACGACAATCATCTGCCCTCATCTGTCCCATGTCTGCAGTATGTCCCAAATTTCCGGGACGACGTCGTGACCCTGACATACCCATAATAGGGTCACTAATACCCTTTCTACATCGCCATTTTTAATTTACCTCTTCTTATTTCATATCTCCCTGGTATTATTAGTTTGGTTCTTCATATTTTTATTTGTTAACCTACGATTACACGTACTTACTTTTTTGGCTTCAGTAGGTATCGTCATTAATAAGACATGCCTAATTAATTACTTTCTGGGAGCTTCGTTAACAAATTACGTTACTTGGTCTTAAATTACCTATTTTTATAAGCAAATATTTTGGGAAGAAACCACCACCATAATATACGCAAGTCAAGACCGAAACTAAATCTAAAGACCGCTAAGAATGCTTCATCAATCGTACGAGTTCAATTCGTACAACTGGCAACATATTAGTTTAATTTATCTCGGTCCATTTTCATTCTGACACGGATTAGAACTCTGTCTACTCCTGAAAGAATAATAAATATGGTGATATGACAGACTGTTATTATAAAATAGAAAGTATGAGAACGATGAGCCTTGTGAGTATAAAGCTCTTAAGGACATAATATTTCCTGCTCCCTTTGAGTTTTATAAGACCGGATTACGGAACCTTGGCTCTGACATCTTATACATAAAATTAATTACAACTGCAGGCATACAGAGTTGAGGTTATATTTTGTAGAGACAATATATTGTCTATTTGTATTTTTGTACCGATTTTAAAAAAATTGGAGGCTCTCAGTTAGACCTGGATATATATTTGAACTGCCTCGTTGGCCGAGTGGTCGCAAGTGCGACTGCCGGGCAAGGGTTTTTTAACAACATCTCAGTAGCGGCACGGAGTCTGGAGTTTTGCCCAGTATGTGACAATACGCTCACCCCCTATTACATAGTACTCATACCATAAATAGTGAAAAGGGGGTGTTACATTGTAAAATGGCATTAAGTTCTATAATTTTTATTAATTTATCAATTTATGTACACAATTTGATTATGGCACATAAGGCGAACATAATGCCATATGGCATTTATGTTAGTGCGGTGCGCGATCATCTCGCGATCGGCTGTTTCGATTATAATGCGTTTTCAGAAAAGTGTTTATTACACTTAGGATAATATTTTAGTATATTAATTAACGGACTTCAAAGTACCCGTAGTAACCGTTGAGTAATAAAATAATTATAGAGTGATGTCGTTGTTTTCTTTACAATAGAGAGTTTAAAATATATAAAATTTTTATATCCCCGAATCCTCCACAATCCTCAAATTCCCAATTCCCAAAAGGCCAATAACGCACTTATAACGCCTTGGTGTTTCGAGTGTCCATGGGCGGCGCAGATTACTTACCATCAGGTGATCCGTCTGCTCGTTTACCGGCTCATGCTATAAAAAAAATATTTACAGTAGACTGTTCTGCAAAATATAAAGTCTACATTCAATGCCTTTGATGATGTCGAGATGTATTTTTTCACATTTTTTCCAACATTTACAAAGGTTTTTTTTATATCTATAAAAAATATACGAGTTTCAACCCTAAACAAGCTAAACGCAAACCCCAATCAAAACAATACTTTGAATAAACCCTAAAGCTAATCGTTCAATAAAATTCTCCATAAAATAATTGCAGAATAAAGCTGGCAGATTTTAAAAAGATTTTATTCGCCGTCCGCACTTTACCATCGACAGTAAAGGACTAAACAACCCTTTAGTGCCGCCATAAACCAGTACGTTTTCTTTATCCAAGTGGGACTTAAATCAAGATGCTGTCCGCAACACGCATTGCGCGCGAACGGGATTTTATTAAACCTGCAGTTGAGAACAGATGTAATGCAATTGCAGCCAGCTGCGGTGGGGTTAAGAATTTAAACTTTAATTATTTTTACTCTAGTTCTTGATTCAAAATTGTGGTTGTGTTTTGTTTATGTTTGTGAGGAAACTCTTTGTTCTGGTTGTAACTAGTTTCCTGTCTGCAGTTTCATTTTACAATATCGTATTGAAGTGATGTTGCCTTTTGACGTTGGTTCTATTGATTGGTTTCTGTCCTAGATTATCACCATAGATATAATTTCTGTCATGATGAACATACAGGTCGTTTCGGTCAGTCCAGCTGGCTGATCTAAAGATCATTGAGAGTGGCCTATGTTTTTCAATGGGCATCTTGTAGCTGACATAAGAATGACGAACGATACACTACATCATGTATTCAGCCTTTTTTAATGCAGAAACCAACACTCATGTATTACATTTTCCACAAAAGCCAAATCACGTTCGAGTATTGTAAATCTAAAATCGATTACGAATAAGGTAACAAACTTCCAATCACCAAGCTATTGTTTTTTCAATCCGAACCCATACACAACGCAGTGAAAACGAGCAACAGCAAAAAAGATGAACAAATGGGTCGTTATGTACGAGCCAAACAGCCAGCACTTCAAAATACACCAAACCCACCGACGCTTTTAATGAATTATCACCTCAATCTCAAAGTGATTAAAGTTGACAATAATTATGTAACTATGTATGTATGTATTATAATTATATCTATCTTCTTCTATATAGACTGCCTCGTTTTCCGAGTGGTCGCAAGTGCGACTGCCGGGTCTCGGCTTCGATTCCCGGGTCGGGTGAAGTATGACTGGGTTTTTACAAAATTCTCAGTGGTAGCACGGAGTTTGGAATTGTGCCCGGTATATGGCGATAGGCTCACCCCCTATTACATGGGACTCATAACAGAAAACAGTGAAAAGTGGGTGTTACATAGTACAGTGGCATTAAGTGCCGTAGTGTGCACCTCTGCCTACCCCGTCGGGGATAAAAGGCGTGATGTTATGTTATGTTCTTCTATAAAAATAAAAATAAATTTTCGTTCGTTAGTCTCGCTAAAGCCAAACCGATTTGGCTAATTTTAGTCTTGATATGTTCGTGGCAGGCCAGAGGAGAAAATAATTTTTAAGCAGTACAAAATTTGGGGCAGCTATTTGTAAATAAATATTCACTATTATGTAACTAATTGGGATACCTTCTGCTTTCGTCTATAGGTACATTGTTTTCTATGCTGCAGTGAAACATGGCTAGTGAATATTGCAGTAGTGTCCCAGCTCCCGACAAATTGCCAACAGGACTTGAAAGAATGCTTAACTTACTTGTCCGTTCTTTTAAAAGAAATGCGTCGTACTCTCGCTATTAGATACAAGTTAAACTAAGTTAGAATAAGTTAGATGAAAAGAAGAATGTAGTTTTCCATTCATTCTGTTTAATTTATTTCACGTTCTATTATGTTGAACATTTTTATTAGATAATTTAGGAACACGTTTTTCAAATGCAATTAGATAAGCACTCGTCAATAAGTGATTATTGGTTTTTACATAATAGTTCTTCAATATCTTTACTGTTATAGTAATCAACAGCTCGTATAAAACTTTTTTTTTCTTAAAATTATTTCCCCCACTAAGATTTTCTCCTGTGTCGTGGGTGCGATTACAAACATGCAAGTTCACATCACACGTGACACCCAGACTCGGAACAACAATCTGTGGATCACACAAAGAGTTGTTCTGTGCGGAAATCGAACCCGCGACACGTTACGCAGCAGCCAGTTGCCCAGCCACCGCGCCAAAAATCTATGTTCTTTGGTTAATATTGTACCTATTATAATTGCTACTTTGTTTTTGTTTATAATAAAACGGTTCTTTATAAAAGAATGTTATATTTACAAAATCAGTCTTCATATAGGAAATTATTTCGGAGTATTATTCAACTTTACCTACATTTTACAGTATCTTTTGGTTTAATCTCTAAATCGAATTATAGGTGAAATCGTTGTAGTTGTCGGTAGCGTCACCGGTGGAACCGGCTTTGTTGGTGGTTTCGGCGACATTGTCGTTGGTTTTGGTGTATTTGGCGGTATTGGTATTATTGGCGGTATTGCCGTTGACGATTTCGGTGTTACCGGTGACATCGGCGTCGTCATCCCATCTTTGAGGTCATTCACAGAAATAGTGGCGTTCACCTCTGGCCACACAACACTTTCTATCCAGTCTGCGAATTTCGCTACCTTAGTGTACACTCCTGGTAAACCTGGCAGCGCACACCCTACACCAAATGACGTCACACCTACCACGTAGTGCATAGTTCCCTGATTCAAAATTGGAAGTGGAATCTTCACTTGGAGAGGACCACCGGAGTCACCCTGGAAATTAAAATGAATGATTATTGTTGTTTTTAAAATGCTATATCAAGTTTTGTCAAAGGTAGTTGATTATAATGGGAATAAATCAACTCATCTACTCGAAAAATACCTATATTTAATTACCTGGCAAGCATCAACACCTCCTCCCATTTTGCCGGCACACAACTGATCAGGCTGAAGGCCACACCAATTCCTATTGCAAGACCTTTTCAGCAGCTTGTTACATTGATGGAAGTCAATTATGTCCACGGTTGCTGCTTGGAGCTCTGGTGACGTCTTCAGAGTACCTGTAAAGAAAACCAAAGCTCTTACCAAGGCAGCATGATCTATGAAGAGAACTCAGTGTATTGTTATAACAAAACATGCTCATAATATAATAGTGTGGCGACACATGTCACAAGTCAACGGATGACGTCATAAAATCCTACATCGCACATGCGAAGTTTACATTCGATTTAACACGGATAGAAAATCCCAACGAGCAACTGTTGGGCAGAAAGCCCGCCAGGCACGATCACCTCGCCTGGTCGGAGGATCCTCGTTTTACGATCTTAGGGAACTATACTCTCTGTTCCCTAAAATAGTATCGTTCTTTTATGAAAAGTTTGCTTCAACAGCTGCATCAGTATTTATTTGACTGCTAGTAGTCTGATGATAAAGTTTTCAGACCCTTACCTGACTCTATAACACCCCATCCAGTAACTTGGGCTTGATCACCATACCTAGTGATACTATCCTTGGTCCATAAGCAAGCTGGTTGTATGTTCATGTTAAACTCTATCACTTCTCCAAGTTTCATAACGGCGATATCGAAGTACTGTTTTGGTGCCGTATACTTGGGATGATTGATAATCTCGATGATGGTTGCATCATATCTATCGTCAACCTAGAACCATTTTACATAACAATTGTTAATAATCTAATGTATCGTCACATGAAATTTCTGAACACCAATACTTACAGTATCCTGTATATTCTTATCTCCTAGTCTCACTATTTTCGGTATTACATCTTCGATGGTGGTATCTCTTGACGATGCTTTAGAGCAATGGGCAGCAGTAAGTACAAATCTTGAACTAATAAGTGTACATCCACACATGAACTTCCATGTTCCTATGACCTCTTTCCATCCGATGGCACCCTGGTAATTAGAAATAATAAATTGACTTAAAAAGAACGAAATTCGGTATTTTCATGGGTCAAAAATAAATTATTTTGATATTTCAATCCAATTAAATATTCAAAAATAATTAAAACTTTATTCAATATTTGACAATATGCTTAATTTTCGATTTATTCTAGCAATTATTACAGAAATAAGTGTGCTATTTGACACGAAAATGTAATGACGTCATAAGTTAGTTTTTGGTACAAAAACCATAGAACAATATCGTTTTTGACGTTTCGATAAAAGTATTGAATTTTATTAGTTGTAAAATACGGTATTAAGTAAGTTATGTTTAAATTACCATCAAACTTGATTAGTTCTTCACTTACCATATTAGGGTAGTCTCCTGTAAATGTATAGTGACCTCCAACAACATAATAGGACATACCCCTGGACCTCAATTCATAACCTAACCAGAAATACAACAGAATTAGACAAATGAAATATCTTTTATTTCAAGCATAGAAAGACATACTTAATATTTTAATATCATACTCACATTCGTTTTCTTGTCCTGCTTTATCGCTTCGCATTTTCAATTGCCAAATATATTCGAAACATTCTGAAAAGTTAAAGAATGAAATCAACTTTCACTCTAAACCAGAATAATATTTAAGATACAAAATTCTTAGCTCACTTACTCATTTCACTGACTCTTCTACCAGGCGCCCTGAAGTCTGGCTTAGGTGGCGGAACATAAGGTTCACAGGGATCATAAGGGTGTACGCGATGTGCTGGAGCACTTAGGAAAGAATACTGATTAGGTATTGGTGCAATATGACGGGCTGGTGTGACAGGAGGGCTTGGCGTTGTAGTGTGTGATATAGGGAATTTTTGAGAATTCGGGGGTGTAGTAGGCGTAGCTATTAGGCGAGGTGGAGAAGAAGTTGTCGCAGAGGAAACTGAAGACCTATCTGATAGAGATGATAGAATTGGAGAGGTAGTTACAGTTGACGGTGATCCAGTAAGCTTACTGGATTCGAGTTGAGGTTTATCAGGTTTTAATGCACTAAGAAGTGGAGGTATAGGCTGTTTTGTATTTTGACTAACTTCATTGACTGCTACATTTTCACCAGTAGGTAACTGAAATTCAGACATAATATTTGAATATCAATTAGCTGTACGTATTATAATTAGAATCATGTAAATGCTTTCAACACATACCTTAGAATTTTTCAATGTGGAGGTAGTTTGTCCAAACGAAGATACTGCAAATCAGTTTCACAACACTCAGTTAAACTAAATAAGTCACAATGAAAAAATGTAATGTACAAAAGAAGATATTAATAAAATAAACTTACCTATGAAGGAAAATACAAAAATAACACACAGACATTTCATCGTAAATCACAAAAAAAAATATTATTTATTTAATAAAATCAAATACACGTCCATTACTGACTGTGTCAACAAAATAATTGATAATGATACTAAAGGCCTATTCAATCGATGTAACAGTACAATACATTTCAATACCTGAATCAATTAATGCTTTCTTAATGATTTTTTCGATAAAGTTACATAAGTAATGATCAATATCATTAATAGTGATAAACTAGATAATAAATTAAAGAGACTGTGTACAACGTTAAAGAACTGAAAACAAAAAAAAATCCATATGAACTAACTAACTAAAATTACTACAACCAGACAGCTATAAATATCAGGAGGTTCAATTCCTTCAACAAAATTATTTCTCTCCCGGCCACACTACGTTCTCAATCCAGTCAGCAAAGCTTGCTACTCTACTATAAACTCCTGGTAGCCCTGGTAATCCACAGCCAATGCCAAATGACGTGATACCGACCACGTAGTTCATATTGCCTTGAGTCTTTATTGGGAGAGGAATGTTAACTTGGAGTGGTCCTCCTGAATCACCCTGGAGAAAAAAAAATACTTTATAATGTTGATCTCTGGGTTCTAAACCATACCAGGCTTGGCTTGCTGTTATCATAAATAGAAGCGATTGACTTGTCTTTTGACCACAGGTTTAACATAGTACATCATTGTCATTAGCTCGTTGCGGTTTATAGAAATTATTAAAACCAGTTCAAAATTCAGTGGTAACGTAAATCGTATTGAATAACTTCACAAGTATCTAGTTTACATACAATATTCTTACAAACCTGACAAGCATCCTTCCCACCATTCAATTTGCCGGCACAAAACTGATGTTCTTTTAGTCCACACCAGTTTCTATTGCACGATCTTTTAAGAAGACCATCGCAAGTATTCGAGTCTATGAAGTCCACTTCTGCAGCAAGGAGGTCTGGAGACGTTTTTAGGCTTCCTGCAGATCAAGACAAAATTGAAGACAAGACGTCTACTGAAGAACCCAGGGCATCCTAGATTGACCAAGTTATTTTAGCGCCAATCTTGGAGTCGTTGATCCCTAAACGCATCACGCTCTATGTATCTATCTCATCGGAGTAACATAATAAAATGTTAGACGATTTTTATTTTTACCTGCCCTCTTTACACCCTTATTGTCTGTATTGTATAATCACTTTAGTGCTATCAAACAGTGTGTAAGTTACACACTTTCTAATTTACCGCTTTAAATTGTCTTCCTACCTGATTCAACGACTCCCCAGCCAGTAATCAGAGCAGTTTTAAACGTGCTAGTATCATGTTTAGTCCACAGGCAGGCAGGTTGAATGTCCTGTGAGAAGTAAACTTTCAAGTCCACTTCCATCAGAGCAATGTCGAAATACTGCTTCGGTGATTTGTATTGTGGGTGCACAATTATTTTTACAATGTCCACATCGTAAGCTGCAACGCCGTTCAAGTCCTGTGGAGATATAAAATAAGATTAAATTAATCGCTTGAAAAATAGATTAATAGATTAACGCGTAACGATAAATTGAAGTAGTGAATAAATATATTATATTATAAAGTATATCCCTGTATCTAGCTAACTATCAACTTTCAAAATAATTTCCCTAAATTGTATTCAAATGCGAACCTAAATCATTCTTGAAAGGACAATCCTCAAAATCATTCTTGAAAGGACAATCCTCAAAATCATTATTAAAACCCAGCTTGGTTTCTCGAAAACTCAACTTTTTATGAATCTATTTTATTCCCTCCCAGACACTCTGTGATAAATTTTATTCGTACAATCGTACTATAAAACTGAAGTATTCAGATAAGCTCTTACAAATTACAATCCATCAAATAATGGATCCCTATCTGAATTGAGTAATCTTAACTGGATATTTTGATGTATTAGCCAAGTAAGATTGTTATTTTAATCCCATTTATAACCGCAGCTTATTACCGCAAGGGTAAAAGTACAAATAGAATGACTGAGGGAATATTTACCACCACGATAACATATGTCTTTCAGTGGATGGGTGACCATTTTAACGTGGTTTATCATAGCATTCCTCAAGTTCAAGTAACGACTATTATCTATGATGTTAGTCCACTCAAATCAAGTACTATCCATGCAACTATGTTTAATGCCACCCAATCGAGAAAAAGCGATGACAAAAAGAAATCTCTAATAAAATCATAAAACTTCGTAATTTCTCACATGATCCGCAATTGTCATTGAACCCAGTCGAACGATTTTAGGCACAGTATCAGCAAGAGTAGTATCCGACGCTGATGCTCTTGAGCAATGAGCAGCCGTCAGCACAAAGTTCTGGCTAATCAATGTACCACCGCACATGAACCTCCATGTTCCGACAAATAGCTTCCAACCTATGGCGCCCTGGTACATAAAAGTGTAAATTAAAATAATTAGTAGAAAATATTTTTCATATAATTTGATAATAATTAAATAACAATCCTTATTCCTTACCATATTTGGAAATTCTCCACGTTTTGCTTTGCGCCCTCCTATAATACCAGGAACTGGATGAATTTCACTACCTTTGGACAAGAAAACCTATAATCATTAATAACATAACAGGACAATGTTCTGCAATTTACCTGTTAATGATACTTATACAAAATTAGCTTACATTTCTTGATCCTTTTTTCTCTTATATCCCGTATTTTCACTTGCCAGATGTACTCGTAACATTCTGAAATATAAAGAAATTAACATTACAAATGAGTAATTGAATACACTCTGTGTTTCATGACAACTACAACAATCTTTTTTTCTTAAGAAACGCCCAAAAACATTTTGATACTAGGTAGTCGTAATAATAATTCGATGACACCAGGACCGCATAAGCAATAAGATATAAACGTAAAGGTTAATCAACTTGATAGTCATTGGACAAATAACGATCTAGTACGGATATAAGGCCAAGTACGTACTATAAAAAACTGGTTGTCACCTGACCTGTTCTATAAGAATCTATGCAGAAAGATTTTTTTATTCATAGTTTTAATAGGTACACAGACATGTTATTCTGCGAAAGTTGGAATATTTTAATGTTTAACAAAACAAATAAGACCCTAAATTAAATAAAGCAAGAAAATAAGTCACAAACGACAATATTAAAGCAAAATTAAAATGTTTATGTGATTAAAAAAAGAAGAGGACTATGAAAAACAGCGTATCTTGTGTAAATGGTTTGAAATAAAAAGAAAAAGTAAATTGGAAGACCATGATTATACAAATGACTGCATTGTAAAGGCTTTTTATGGTATAAGCCGGTATACAAACCGAATAGCTTCAACTTATGTAAGAAAATAAAATATTGTAAATCACACCGGACGCTCAAATCTCCCAAAAGGCCGGCAACGCACTCATAACTCTTTTGGCGACCAATGTCTTCGGGTGGTGCTTCCTTACATTAGAAAAACAGAATATATTGCGACTACTTACTCACGTCGCTAATCCTTCTACCAGGACCCCTGAAGTCAGGTACAGGTGGATTATACGGCGCACACGGATCATCAGTGATATTGTAGGACTGACTCAAACTGCCCGCTAGTGCTGTTGGAATAGCCCCCAGACGTAAGGTTTCTTCGAGGTCCTTTGATGGCTGAAATCAAATAATAAATAAGACAAACCTTATGAATACAGGTTATAAACTAAAGTACCCATATGGTAGTTTCAGGTGAATTACTTAAATTGGAAAAATACCAAATAATCATTTAGAGGAAACTTGGGTAAAGCCTTTTTACGTAACAGAATAATAAAAATAAATAAGCTAGAAATAAATGTAAATATCAAATTTCCTCATAAAATCGCATAAATATTAACCAGTACCTACATAAATAATAGATATAAGATTATCTTTAATTGTCATATCCTTGATATTGAACAATTTTGATTACCAGGGCCTCATAACCTTGGTGGAATCACGATGTACGGCATAATAGGAAGATGATAAATTAAAGTCAGAATGCATTTCAAAACACAGAATTCTCGCAATAGGTATTACTGTCTTATTATAATCTAGTTTGTATTGAGGAAAAAAAACAACATACAGACGAATTAATAACCTCCTACCTACCCATTTATTAGGAAGTCAATTAATAATAACACACATTCATATAAAAATGTGTTGCACACAAGCTTATTCTGTAATTACCATTTTACTAATGATTCCGGTTATATTTACCTCAGAACCATCCGAAGCATTTTGTTGTCCAGTCGTCACATGTAATATGAACACTGCAATAGATCATTTATATTATTTTTACAAAAAACTATTTGTTTCTTAAATTATGTTACTATTGCCATCACTTCACAATTGTCTATCTTACCAAGAAAACATAATATTTTAGGAGTTTTAATGAGACTCATGACACTATAATGTTCAACAAATGCTACAGATGTGTTACTCGCTAAACTATTCACACTTGACTGAGAAACAATATTAATATACAACCTGTCTATAAAAGGAAACAATTTATTGACTTTACTTAAGCATCTTTCGTTTTTAGAAATAATTATCGTATACTAGCTATTGCCATGACTTCTATCAAGTGGATATTATAATTTGAGTAAAAAAATCTATTCTAGAGGTATGTAATACACGTTTGCCATGTCAATTCTATATGCTAATCTGGGCTATATTATCCAGGATAATGCTGTGTGCTATTCCAGATTACAATCTATCTTAACTCAACTTTTCATCCAGATATGTCCAGTGATTTCAATTGATTGACTGACAGACAAACATTTAAAGATAAAACTCCGCATGTTTATCTATAAATATTATTGTAAAGGTCTTTATTCCACTGCATTCATAATAAAAATACATTAAAGTATGATAACATTGTTAATTATCTATGGTATTGTTATAAATATTTTATTACTTATCGGATGATTTCTTGGATTGTTAACGTTACGTACCTAACTGTTTGATGAGGTAAGGATTCATAGTGACCACAGTTCATAGCCATAGGCTTCTGATTCAATATTTTTTTCCCAAAAATGATCTCACACTAGGAACTCCTTTATTTGATTTGTTTAAATGGTATACTTTAAACAAATAGTGTTATTTCGTAAATTGATAGTTTGAGTTCTACGTTACTACGAACAAATATTGACAATACAATATCCAAAATTCCTAGTAGTTCTCTATACCTTCTGCTTATCTACAAGAAAACAACAGAAATCTCAGATCCGGATTCAATATATCAAAAACAATTCGCTACATACAAATATAAGAAAAGCACACACAACACAGTGACACCATAAAACCCAAACATCTGCAAGAATATAAAAACCACATTCAATTTTTTCCTCTACACCACACACCATAAAAGTAAACGAACATAAAATACGATGCACATGCTGTCAGCCACATTGTGTATGGGAACCAACTCGAGAATTATTCCTCAATCGGTACGAAAATGAATAACTTAAGACTTCCCTCATCAAATATGGATTCCCGTTTTTCTCCACTCGCCTGACATCGATTCGATGCCTTTTTCACTGTGGCCAACTTATAAAACTTCCTTATTGGTTATCCGTTGTTTACATTAAAAAGGGAATATGAAAGGTTCCTTTCAACTGATTTGATTGGGGTCATATGTAAACATTTGGTTTTAGGGACCTATAGATTAAAACAAAATGGGTTTCTCGTAAACTCGTCATATTCACATTTGATTGAGGTCTATGATTGAACGTGTTACACGGCTCGGTACAAGGTTGTTTTTAATATTTATCACTTTACCTGCTTATTTAATGACGGTTTATTAAATTCCAGTTATATCAATAGCAATGGTAATGGAAAATTGTTTGATTGTCGTCAAACAAATTAAGACTAAAGATGTTAACATAATGACGTTAATAGAAACAAGAATGAAGCCAATAAAACTTCTTTAAAAACGCCACAGTTGGTTTAAGATTTACGAAACCAATAAGACTGCAAATTCCACACTGATCTTTACATAACCCTTCAGAAGCACAGCGAAAAGGGACAAAGGGACTACCTACGGTAGACTTTCTAAAAAAATCAGTTTACGAAAATCACCGGACTGTCACGTTATCCCCGAACAAGTAACTATAAAAAATATAAGCTCAATACAGACAGACACCAAATACCCGAATTAATCCGATATTTTTCGAAAGTCTGTAGGTTTATTTGTAAAGACGTGGTCGTATTGGGCCCCGGCAATTCGGACGCGGCCCGAAAGTGGCCCCGCGTATGAAAACAAACGGCCACTACGTGTTTTGCTTACTTGTAGGGATGTAGGAAAATTATCCGAGGGTGATGAAATGATGTGGTATTTTATTGTGTTCATTGTCTATTTCTGTCTGTTAAATCTATGAGTACTACTTCGGTGTTTAACTGCTTAACCATACTTGAATGCTGAACCAATACCTGCTTTGGTGAGTTATTATAACTTTTCAATCTTAGAATTCTCATTTTTGACACGAGGTCTCGGTCTGATCTACTAGTTCGACTAGTGCTTTAAAGTCAATGCTTCCCGAAGCAATAAATAAATAATAGGCAGACAACAGTCAATCCTTGAGAATTCTAAAAAGTATATATCTCCCTGATTGTACCTCTATTTTAAAGTTTCAAAAAAAATATCCTCTCTCTCATTCTATGACAAAAACTCGAAATACCATATCCATTGTTCCTTCAGTAATCTAAAGCTCGTTCACAAGTAAGTAAGCACCGTTGATCTGACGCAAAGCCAGCTTGTTTAGACCATTGCATGTGTAACTAGCTTTATACCCCTCATCCCGTATTCAAGTAACACGCAGAACATTCTCGAAGAAATAGACAGTAGTCATGGAACAAGAAAAAAGGTATGGAGTCGTTTATATTTCTAATCTCTAAAGGATAACATTGGTTTTGAAAACATTTTGTACTATTTCTCTCTTATACAAATATTAAATTTGTTTGGTGCTATGTTTTTTTGTGTATTTTGAGTAAAATAACATTACTAACATAACATCACGACTTTTTATCTCCGAAGAGGTAGACAGAGCTGCACAGTACGGCACTTAATGCCACTGTACAATGTAACACCCACTTTTCACTATTTATGTTATGAGTTCCATAGGGGCTGAGCCTTTTGCCATATAGCGGGCACAATTAAAGACGCCGTGCCACTGCTGAGATTTTTTTAAATCCAGTAAAAATTTGCTCGACCCTGGAACCGAACCCGAGACACCTTACCCAGCAGTCGCACTTACGACTACTTGGCCAACGAGGCAGTCATTAAAATAATACGTTCTACTAGTTCAAAATCTTATATGTCTACAGGGTAGGATAAAAGTAGGATAGATCCAATGATGGAAACAATTCAATGCAAATCGTTCGCCGATTCTTAGCAAAACTCCTTTGTTGATCTATACAAATAATAATGCATTTCCGTTCGTTAGTCTCGCTAAAACTCGAAAACGGCTGAACCGATTTGGCTAATTTTGGTGGTTTTTTTTTAACGGGGTGGTTTTTAGTCAGTAAGAGTCTGACACTCCCTTCCGCCTCACCCAGGCGGGAGCAGCCATTCGATGATTTTCCCCCATAAAAAAAAAACTTTATATATACACTAAGAACTTAGCCAAAAGAAGAATAAACGTCAGTAATAAAACTCTTATAGCTAATAGATTAACGTAATAAACTAACTAGAACCACGCTTGATGTGCACTAAACTTTAAACTTACTTTCAAATTGGAGCCAATAAAACGCGTGCACCTTAAACCCGATGCGATAAAGATGATAATTGCATATCAAATTAAACAGTTAAACACAGGATGCGAACAAAACAGTAGTTCTCAACTCGTGGTCCATGTACCACTAATGGTCCATAGAATACAAAATTTGGTCCAATCAATAAAAATTTACACAAGACTAGAGGTGTAGTACAATAAATACCACAGTTAAATATCGAATTACACTTATGCCAATGGAAACAATTGAGAGAAGCAACTGATTTCAATAATCTAAAAATCATTATTTTTATGAGTGAATGAATAAATACTAGTGTAAGAGGACAGGAAAACAGTAATAGTAAAAGTAGTTCCTAACCTAACAAGAGTTATAAAAATGATCCTTGACCAGGAAAAGGTTGGGAAACTCTGAGCTAAAACAATGATGCCGTAACTTCAGCTTCAGGAGATCAGAATAAGTTTTTTCTAATTAGAATTCGATGAATTGGCCCTTTCCCGAGCTCGGCTCGTCTGCTAGTCTCCCGATCGAGTGCCGAAGTAATTAGTGACTCCGTTTGCTAATGAAATTCTGAGGACGAATGCGACCATTCTTTCTCCTTTTACATATTCGTGTGCGATGAGATTCTCTGATAGTTTATTTTTAAAACTTTCTTTGTTTCGATTCAGAAGAGAGAGATTTATTTCGTTGTTTCAAGAAACAGAATTTTTCTTTTTAAAATTCGCTATTACAACACGTAGTCCAGAGTGCTTAAATATGAGATTCACACCAATTACCTACATGACAATCATGACTTATTGCATTACTGTCTAGCCCTTCTAGAAAAAAGGCGTTATACTACATTAAGAACACAATATGGCGAGTATAATAATTTACGCGACATATAACAATATAATGTTAGTTCAATAACAAGTATAATAGGACAGTTATAGGCTGTTATTGGATATTTATCTGTGTCGAATGGGGTAGGAATACTAATGTCATTTCGCGCATGCGGCCTATTTAGGAATCAGTAGCGTAGTTTTGAAACTGGAAAAGTATAAACTAATAAATAGACATAGATGTTTTTTTAATAATATCGTATCGGTTTATTTATTTAGTGCCAATCCGTCTTAACTCGTCGAGTACCGGTTTTATAGACACAATTAAAGAACAATAGGTCGCGGTCACCGGTGACCGCTCGGTGTTTGACAGATTAAGATAACCTAACATTAGAACTTTAAATCTGAAGTTGAAATTGGAAAACGTACTCGAGAAAACTGCGGACTATAACCTCCGTGTGTTTTCAGAAATGTATTGCCCTTAGCAAAATTAGATGTAACATCATCACTAAAAAAAGTAGGACTAGCAAACAAAGTTACACGGGCTCAATATATTAAAAAAAATCAACTTTTTATTTTAACATAACATCACACCTTTTATCTCCGAAGGGGTAGGCAGAGGTACACATTTAGGCACTTATTGGCACTGTGCAATGTAACACCGACTTTTCACTATTTTATGTTATGAGTCCCATGTAATAGTGGGTGAGCCTATTGCCATATACCGAGCACAATTCCAGACTCCGTAATACCTACTATTTTGAGATTTTTTTAAAACCCAGTAAACCTTTGCCCGACCCGGGAATCGACCTCGAGACCCATTGCCTGGCAGTCGCACTTGCGACCACGTCTCAGTCACATAAAATGTGACTGCCTCGTTGACTATCTACATGTAATAAT